GCGCCGAGCGCCGATATCACCGAGCCGCCTCCTTCGGATTTCCGATGCGCACAATGAAATTTCATCCAATTTAGAAATTCAAGCCAAATGGAACAATATTTGACGTGTTGGTTGCGGCCGGCTTGGACGTTCCAGTTGTATCACTGACTGGGTCGTAAATGCCAATCTTCCTCATGACCCTGGACAAGCCAGAGCACATATTGAAAAAAGGGGGTTCGCGTCGCCTGGAGGCAGTGTAATACCAGGGACACTGTGAGAGGAGCCGTGTGCAAGCACAGAGAGCTTCTCTCGAGGTACAAAAATAGGAATAATCACGATTGGTCTCCTTAGAGACCTTTCAGAGATTAAACTGAAAAGAACAGATACTACACTTGATCTAAGCCAAAAGGCCTGTGATAGACAGTTAGCGAAGGAATGCCATCGTAGGGGCGAGTTCAACACGTACAAAGAGAGCTAAAGAGAAAAAGAAGAAATAGAGGAAACGAGAAAGCTAGGCTGCGTTTATATAGAAGTCTGTTGGGCGGTGTTGCGAGGCACGGATGGGGCGAGGCGGCAGAATGTGTGAGGACACGAGTCATTTCGGGCGGGGAGAAACCTTAGACCGTGTGGATACGTGCGAAAATTGGCTGCAGACATGTCCAATGAGCTTGTTGGACCAGAGACAGCCACCTGTTTGTCTGGGTCAACTTCCGGTGAGTTACGCGAAAACATCCACCACGAACAGACGGTGAGGCTCGACGACTACAACCATTGGCTTACTGCGACTTCTGAGGTCCACTGCCACTTGGTTTACCTTGTTGACCGGCTGGTCGATTGCGGTCTATGGAGTCTGGACAGTGGAAACCAACCAGACTTTGGTTGGTCGTGGAAAATGTGACAAACAGACTTCGGGGTTTCACAATGTTATGCCATCGTCTTCTATGCACATATGCAGCAGCTTCCTTGTGACTTGCACAAATTACTGTATAACCCAGCTGCCTACGTACTTACTTCACCGAGCTCACCGGCGCAAGAACACCACAAGGTGATTGATGGGATGGGATGGCGGGGATGGGTGTTCGAGTGTATCACCAACGGCCGACCTGCCGAGTCCAGTAAGTGCTTCCAAGTCGTGAGATCTCATTGATCCGGTTCGGTGCCCTCAGCGTCAGGTTCGGAGAAGGAGTCGACTTCGTGTGCACACTCTGGCCCGTTACTTGGTGTCCACCACGCTCATTGTCAACCAAAGACTGGACGAATCCTCTAGATGTCCCTCGGAGCTGGGTCTAGCTTCATTCTAGCAATGATACACAGCACGTACCGTCGCGTCATGAGCTTAGCAAGACTCGCCTTCTCTATGGCCCCCTGTAGGACCCTTCCGTCGAGTGATGGCACCGCGGTAGCGATTACGTGGCCGGTCTCTTCTACCCCGACAATTACAAGGATTCCGAATTCTCGCACAGCACGCAATATACGAAGAATGTCTCTGAGAAGACTGGTCGATGACTCGGTATCGATTAGCAGGATGTCGATTTACAGAGTCACGTCGGGACTGTCGGTTCACTCGACCAGTCTTGTCGGGCTCTATACGATCTCAAAGCACATATATAAAGTAGTTAAATAAACAAAAGAACTATTTACCACCCTATATATCTATATCGCTACTTCTCTTACTATCGTTATTACTATTTTTACTACTATCGTTATTACTATTTCTACTACTGTCGTTATTACTATTTCTTTTACTATTGTCATCGCTATTTCTCTTGTCGTTGTTGTCGCTATCTCTCCTGCTGTCGTCGTTGCTGACGCTGTGGCTCTTATCCCCTTTCTGTGTATTCCTTTGAGAATATACCTGGGCCTTGGGGAGAGACGAATACTAAAGATGCTAACGTGTTAGACTCTAAGGCTTTAGATCCCGCCCGGCCTTTATACCATACGCTCCAAGAGTGTATTGCCATTTTGAAGAAGTCATCGAAGCAGGCGTCGAGTATGGAACCGACCGTATGATCGGGCCCGCGCGGCAGAACGATTACGCAAAGTCAGACAGATATCAGTCTTTTCAACCACCTTCATCTCATAAATCAATATCCTTTCCAGAGACTCAGGTAAGCAGAGTGTAAGCTATTAAGGAGGATTACGGACGGTCCTCTGGATGAGGGCAGGCAGCCGCTTGATCGCCAACACGGTTGTTACGGGCCATTTATTACGCAAAGTTTCGGTGGTAATGAACAAACGTTGCTTGTGGCTTCGACCATGTGGCTAACCTCACTGGTCATAAGGTCAATCGTCAATGCAGGCACACCCTAGAAAGCTGAAGCTTTCCCGATCGCATGTCGAGCGGATGTTTCAAGTGTGGCCTTGTATAAGTCGAAGGTAAGTCGAAAAGAAGGACTTCTGCTTCGGTATCGAGTGACTCAAAGTGCTGTACGTTGTCTTCGGTGCTCTTCTGACTTTGAAGACTTTCAAGTGGCCACCGCACCAACTATCTCTCTTCTACGAACCATCCAAGCTGACGTCCCCTTCACACACGTAAGTGTTTGTCGTCACAAGCATATCATCACAGCGTGAATCTATGGAAGCTCTGGAATATGCTTGAGAGAAGGAGGTCTCCAGTATCCCGGACTTCTGTGTCAATCCCCGACCCTGGTCTTCTTCAGACAGATTCCTCCTAAAGAGTCCTAGTCAGAGTGGTTGAGAATCAAGTTAGATGTCACTCTCACGATGCCTGTCATATTCCAACTGATCCTCAATGCCACTATTACGATGCCTCTCTCGAGTTTTGTTGGGATTATCTTGGTCCTCATGGTTCAGATCATTATTCTCCAGGGAACACAAACTCATCTATATTTACTCGGAAGTCTGTTCAGACGAATATATTTGGAAATGGCCCGCGAGGTCTTGAAGTTCCGATCTCATATGGACCGCCTGCGGCTAGCTTTGTTTAAACAGACGGTGTAAGCAGTCTCAACCGTGGCGGCTATGACAGGTACCCGCAGCTTGCATCAAGCCATTCGTCCAAGGCATGTAGTGTTGTCGGTGTTCGAGTCTACCCTGAGTGTCTCGGCAGGGGCTACCTCGGAGTCATGAAGTTCACGAGAGTGACGCTTGTCGACCTGGCTTGGAATCTGGATGCTGTGCTACCGTTCGACTACTTTTCCTAACTAGATGTGAAACAACTTTGGCGGTGAAAATGGCTTTTATCCCCTTCTCCCAATACCGCACCTATACCAGCTGATGCAGCAAGTATCGCCCGATCCAGTTGAGAATCAAGAGACGAGCTCGCCGGCACCGAAAGTTAATGCTATGAACCCATGCTGACCGGCCAGTGATGGCCGACAAACACATCAATACTCTTGAGGTCCTTTCCTCTATCTTATGAACGGCTTAGACGTTGTTTTGCCTGCAGAAATATCAGCCAAAGTCTGCTTTCACCGTAACGTCTGCGTCTATTCAGGACCAATCTTTCTCGCAAGCTCGCCCATCTACGACATAATCGTACCCAGAACATTGCTGTCACCGAGTTCGTCTTGACTGGGTTGGCTTGTCTCCGCCCTTCTCGTCAAACGTTTGCCTTCCGCTTGGGTACTCGCAGACCATTGAGTCATCTGATGGTGCTAAGATAAGCATCAAGGTGATCTTCTGCAGTTGTACTCTAATCATCAAACATGGCTTGAAGGGATATCTCTATCCGGCCAATTATCTTTAGGATTTTGGGCCTCTACTTATACGATATTTCAGACCCATCTGCTTGCAACATCACATCGTAGCGTATTCCTGCAAGCAATAAGATAACTTTAAAAACGGAGAACGAGCTGGCTTTTACGGCTTCGTCTGTAATATAATTATCCCGACTCCCTATATCTCTACTATGCCCTCTTCAATATCCATATCAATCATGCATTAGTCCTCAAGACCACTCAAAATAGGTCTGAATATGTAAACGCTCAGGACCTTACTATCCAATGCTTTATATTTCTGCCTTTTAGTATACTTTTTACTATTATCTACATCATCGTCGTCGTCTTTTTCATCGCAAGCCCTTCTACACCTTCCTCCCTTATATATCCCGGAAAGTATACTACGAAAACATTGAGAGACATGAGACTCAAGATGCCGTTAGGGCGGTTAAAGATTAAGAAGTAGACGAGCTGGAACTCGAGCAAATAGGAGAGGACGAGAGATCCTAAAAGAAAAGCAGAACTATTCTTCAGAAGAGCTCATTCTCCAAATAATCCAACGGGAACCATACGAAGACTCACGAGGAATGCTTTGCGCAAGGCCAGATAACCAGCAAGGTTAGTTCTTTCATAAAGCTTCATCAAACTGTCCCTCCCTTGGAAAGGGTGATCCCCTTCTCAGCGCCTTGAGAGGTGAAGGTAAGAGCGGTCTGGGATCCTTTAGCAATAACCAGTGTCGTTATGCTGGGTGTTTGGATCATCTTCCACAGCATTTGTACACTTTCGTTGAGCCGAGAAATACATCTCGAGGAGACAGCGGTGGCACCGGTATGCCCGTTCAAGAATGGCCCCGGCGTCCCGAAAGTGTGCTCAACTTTTATGGGTCTACCGGAGCTTGTACCGGCCGCTGCCACCGGGTGGCTGGAGTTCCTAGGCCCTGCCCAATTTGGACGAGATACGTATCTTTTCTCGCCCTGCCATGTGCTCCACGGAAGAGAAAGATTGGGGAAAGAACACCTCAGCTGAGTCCTCAGCCACGGGCAGCTTTGCTGGACGTAGCGGCGCAGCATCCACTAGGAATCCACCAGCCCAACCAATGTGCCAATGTCGTATTACCGCGTTGCGTCTGCACTTACTGAGGTGGGAATCCATGGCAGCCGCTGAACCGAACTGACTCTGGGCGACAAGACCAAACTTCGACAAGTTTCCTTCGCCCAAAGCCGTCGTCATCCTGCCAAGAACCGAATGGCAAATTGCGAACACACGCCGCGTACGACGTAAACCTATTCATATATCCCATTCAGCGCATAGCTAGTTTCGCGCCAACTTTTACATTGGCGTTTTCCCTCCCTCTGCTCAACAGATTTCCTAAGCGTCCCGCCTTGCAGCTACACGCCCACAACCGCACTTCCCGACTGATCGCGCCGAGAGATACCACCAAGATTCACCAGCATGCCCGGCACGAGGGTCCGCAAGGTCTACAGGACCGACGATGTCGTGGACCTTAAGGATGAAGAAAAGGAGCAACTGCTCGAGGTACGTTGAGCTACTGGCAAGTTTCCCAAAGCTCGACCGTTAGCTGACAGCTCTGCCCCTCCAGAGCTACCTCCCAGACGGCCCACCTCAAGACGCACGACGACAATGGCGCGACGATGATATTCCTCCCAAGGGCAGGTTCGGCCTGAGACGCGCCCTTCGCTCAAAGCTACACCTTGCGATTTACACAATTCTACACGCCATTTTCTCCTTGTACATTCGGATACGACAAGCATGGCATCTGGTGTGCTACCACATATCCTCCATCATGTTCTATCACCACCGAACTCCGGAATACATCGAGCGGGACGTTGTTGGTCTGAAGAAGAAGCCGAAACATCTCAGCGTTATCTTGAAGCGCGAACCAAGTGGAAGACACGGAGCTGAGTTGGAGAGATTGGTCGCCGAAGCGGCCGAGATTGCCGTTTGGTGTGTCTGTGCCAAGATTCCCGTCTTGACGGTCTACGAGCGGACAGGTAAGCTCCTGATTCTACGTGTATATTCTACCGCCCTGCTGACTTTTCCTCCCTCAGGTCTTCTTAAGCACTACCTTCCTCACCTGCAACAATCCATCATCCAGAAGTCGCGATCCTACTTCGGTAGACACCAGCCAGCTTTGACCGTGGCCATGCCGCACGCCGACGACGTCCTCGAGTCCCCAGCCCACGGCGATTTCGCGCGCAACGACCCACGTCACCTCAAGGTTCTCTTCATCTCCGCCGAGGATGGGAGGGCGTCCATGGTTGATCTCACTCGCACCTTGACCGAGATGTCACAAAAGGGCAAGCTCCACCCCCGTGACATCGGCACGGATCTGATCGATGCGGAGTTGTCCGAGGGAATCATGCCGGAACCCGATCTGCTCATTTCGTTCGGTCCTTATGTCGACCTCGATGGCTACCCGCCTTGGCCCATCCGCCTCACAGAGATCTTCTGCTTGCCGGACAACCAGGGCGTTGGATATCAAGTCTTTTTGAGAGCGCTGCTCAACTTTTCCAGCGCACAGTTCCGCAAAGGCAAATAGAGAGGTGTTTGGGTTGCGTATACCCCATGAAAGTTGTCATGACGTTCCCTTGAGCTGGTCTTTGGCGGAAGATACCCGCATTTCCCGCATCGTTTTGTCCCACCGATAGACAGGTCCGGTTCCAACGTTGTAGTTGTAGTAATTATCAGTTCCTTCCTTCACCATCGCTCGTCTGAACGTGATGTTGATTCTCCCTCCATCCTCCGCATTCTTGCCCGTTCGCTTCGGTATCGAGTGAAGCCAATTCGACTGAGTACGTCCGCGCATGAGAATCATGTCACCGCTGGCCAGGGGCAACTTGATCTGTTTGGGCTGCGGGCTATCCGGATGCTCATTGTCTGGGGGTATCGGCTTGTGCTTCATGAGGAAATCCCTCCTCGCGCCGAGGGAGAAGGAGGCGATGGCTGGATCCGGTCCAAGAAACCTCTCGTCGTCGCTGTGGAAGGAGATGCTGTCCGTGCCTGAAGCATAGTAGTTGACGAGACAGAAGTTGAACTTGCAATCTGTTGCGGTCTCAGCCGAGCGACGGAGATCATCTAGACATCTGGGGATTGGCCGCGGCGGGTATCTCTGGTACAGTTTGTCGACGACTTTGAAGCCGGACTTCTTGTCTATGACGGAGCCATCTTCGTCAAACCGGCATGTGTCGTCCAAGCCAAACACCGTGGTGTACCTGTGCATGTGAGTGGGGGTCATATGCCCAAGCTTGGAGAGCCTCCTTACCGTGGCGTGCGAATATGAGTTTGAAAGCCGCCCCTTTTGATATCGTACTCGACTCGGTAGAATGGCAACTCGGACCGTAGAAACTCAAAGAGATCTTTGGCCATATAAGACGGAATGTAAGGCTCAAAATACACCAGATCGAGGTCTGGTTGGTCATTTATGTCTTTACCTGGACGGGCAGGAAGTGACGAGAGCTCTTTACTGATGCTTGTGGGAAGCTCTGAGATAGGTATGGGATAATTGGCGTGAGTGGACTGGCCGACCTGATACTCATGCGTTTCTGTCAGTAGTGAATCCTACAACGCATTTGAGCCGCAACGAAACATACGGCTTCGTTTGGCTCATCCTCCTTGCGCGGCTTCTTGACAGATGGCGCGAAGAATGAGTCCAGGGTCCGCTTCTTCGACATGATGTATGAAGGGCTTCCAGACAATGAGAAGTGTCGTGTAAGTTGGGGGCAAGCTTGGATGAACCGGGGCCCGTTGAGTAGTAGCCACATGCAACTGAAAGCTCTAACCAATAATTAGCAGCCGGGATGCTAGTCTGAAAGACGCTTAACTCTGCAAATGAACCTTAACAAGACACAAAATCCACATCCATCGCGAAAGCTGAGGTGACCAGTTCCTCACATTCCTCTCAGACATGTTTGTCGACCAATCATCAATGACGCTTAGATCACGAAGCTCCAGTGACATCACCCTGTGGCGTCCTAGCCCCACTCTGGCACCCTTCAAATCTCAGCCTCGCCTATGCGCCACATCTGGGGACCCCTGCCCCTCAGCCCTAGACGGAGTTTTTTCCTCAGCCTTGCCCCTCCATGATTGATAGTGCCCAACCATCGACTCATCACCATGGCGGTAAGTCGAGACCCCTACACGGCCGACCAGCCTTTGTACTTTGGATCTCGTGCTAATATCATCGTGAAGAACTCAAATTCCGATATGATTAGCCTCCGCGCTCCCCTTGCCCGCGCGGCCACAATTCTTGACCGTTCCCTTTTTTCCAAAAAGTTGGAGCTCGCTGCGGCTACGGTCAAGGACCCCCGCAACATCTCAAAGTACCGCAAGCAGCTCGAGAAGGGCAATGAGCTCCTCAGACTCGATCGTCTGGACTCATGCAGAACTGACCCCAAGTCTTCAAATTTGAAATGTCTTTTGCTGCGACCCGGCGTGAAAGCTGATAGTATGACCCCGCTTATGCTTGCTACATGTCTTGAGCCTGTGACTAACACGGAACTCAGCACCGACGACATGGGGTCCTGTCTTCCAGGAGGGCATCAAGACCGGAGAGCTTGATGTGGTCCCTTACGAGCTTGAGCTCGACTATGACTACTGGAGCTACCGTGAGTGTGGTTTATCCCGAACAGAAAACGGAACTTGCTAACCCCTGACGAAGTTGATGTGATGACATCCATCTTGCCTGAGGAACTTCACGTAGAGATCCCGGTTGGATTCAATACCGCTGGACATGTTGGTATGTCACCCGAAGTAACGCGGTGAAACCAGCCACTGATTCTCACAGCGCACCTCAACCTCAAGGAACAATACCTCCCCTATAAGAAAATCATCGCAGAGGTCATCCTCGACAAGAATCCCAAGATCACCACCGTTATCAACAAGGTGGACGATGTCGGCGGTAACTCTGAGTTCAGAACATTTGCCTACGAGGTTCTTTGCGGGCCCGAGGATATGAACGTCGAGGTCAAAGAGAACGATTGCGTTTTCCAGTTCGACTATTCCAAGGTATACTGGAACAGCAAGCTCGAGCCCGAACACACTAGGCTCATCGGCATGTTCAAGCCGGGAGAAGTTGTTGCCGATGTCATGGCGGGAATTGGACCGTTCGCCGTGCCGGCAGGAAGGAAGGGTGTCTTCGTCTTCGCCAACGACATGAACCCCGAAAGCTACAAGTACCTGAACGCAGCTGTCCAGAAGAACAAGGTCCAGCAGTATGTCCGTCCGTACAACATGGACGGCCGTAAGTTCATCCAGGAGGCCGTCCACCAAGTCTACGACGCTTCGAAGAAGGGAGAGGGCGCTGTCATCAAGCCCAAGCAATCGAGAAGCAAACCCCAAAACCCGCCTCCTCAACCGAAGCACATCCCAATCCCTCCTACAATCTCTCACTTTGTCATGAACCTACCAGCTTCGGCCTACACCTTCGTTAAGCACTACAAGGGTATCTACCACGGACACGAGCAGCTCTTCGAACCTCACACATCCGCGAAGCTACCCATGGTCCATGTTCACTGCTTCGCCCTCAAGAGCGACGACGAGGTACCCCTGAATGACATCCTCGAACGTATACACGCCGAGATCGGCGTCAGGTTCAGACTTGGAGACGCGGATAAGCAAGGGGAAATGACCATTCACAATGTGCGGGACGTTGCTCCGAAGAAGCGCATGTTCTGCGCAAGCTTCCGTATTCCTTCTGAGGTCGCCTTCGCGAAGGAAAGCTGAGATTCGCCCGCTCGGTTTACACAGTCGCCGTCCCCACAGGCATAGCTCGATGTCACTGTCACCGAGATGGACATGTCCATGCCAGCTTGGTGACACAACTTCTCATCGACACCTTTACCCGGGGACACCTCTTCCATTCACGCCACATGGGAAGCTTCACCATCCTCCTCGAACGTGACCGATGTCCCAACCGCGTCGCCCAGGTCTGTACCAACCCCGCCTCGCTTCGCTCAACTTGCAGCCGGTGTAAGGCTGTCAAAGCCCCCAGAAAACAGCTTCTCCAGCGCCTTTCGTATATCTGGTGCGCCGAGTTGAAGGACTTACCTGATCGGCTGTCGTGCAGGGGAGGGGGCTGGCCAGCAGAGATAACGTACGGCAACCTGACGGTGCCGTGACGGGAAACCTTGGCCCCCCTTTATTAAATGCGGAGAGCGAGGAGTCTGCAAAGTGAAGAGAAAAGAAACAACAACAGGAGATGGCGGAGGAGGAGGAGGAGCAGGCAGGTCCATCTCATCTCGACTTGTTGTGTCTCGGCGACTACAGCTTCTACCAACCAATACCCACCTCCAATCGCACATTCCTATATCTGTCCCCTCGATATACCTGCAATCATGACTACTTGCATCCATCCCAGTTGTGCATATGCGCGTCCCATCCCCCTTCATCTATGGACCCTGGTGGTAATGGTGGGTTATCGTTGTCGTCGAATGCCAGAAACCACCACAACGTCCAGCATGTGATACCGCCAGCGCAATCCCGCCCAGTCCAAGGGTTCGGCGTGGTCGAACCGTCCAAGGGACAGCCCCTACCTCACCTAGACCGAGCCTCCATCTCGCGACGCCGCGCGACGCCGTGCGACCCCATCTTCGCGACGACCCCAGTCCCGCCCAGCCGAAGGACAAGGTGCAGCATCCCGTTCGTCCCCCGCCCCGTATCGCCCCCCCTTCTTCGTCTTCTTCATCAAGTCATGGCTTGGTACAGCTGCACTCACACGAAACGCGTTTCTTCCCTCCTCTGTACTTCTTTCGCCTGTTTTTCAGGCGTCGCGGCGGCTGCACCATGACATGTAGATGATGACGAGGGATTCTGCTCCGGTGAAGCGGGGGCGGCGCCCAGAGGAGCAGCATGGCAGGGCCTAGAACGCGAAGAGACTCGGCACCTCTGTGGTTTGTCCCATCCCACCACCACCTTCAACCACCTCATGCAACCTGTCAAAGCTGTATGTGTATGTGCATGTCTTGTGTGTGTGCTCCCTCTTGTCAAAATTTGCGACAATCCGGGGATATGTCTCAATGGGCTGTTGGTGGTGTGTTTTGCGTACCGCGAACCCAACATCCCGTCGATCCCTCCCATTGATTCATCGAGTCCCAGCCAAACATCGTGAATAACGTCCTCCGTACATACCACATCCAAGCCTTGGGCATCCGCATCACGCATCTATCACTATTTACTTATATCCCGTCGCAGCGGCAGCGGATCCGCGCTCTGCCGCGGCGCGGCGCCGTTGATGGGTCCAGAGTGCCCCCCCCTTACCCCCAGTCAGCCTCTCGGGGAGAACGCGGAAGGGAGATGGAGGGAACCATTCCTGGCTCGGGCGATAGGTATTACTCAGAAGCCAAAATGATGTTTCCATTCCCTGAACCAAGATTCCCGTTGAGTTGTGAGAACGTCATCTAGTCTTCTAGGCTTTCCTCCGGGGGAACCCGCTCCTTATCGCGCTCATCATTGACCGGTTCTGTCTCCATGGGTTCCAATATTTCGATCTTTCATCCAACCGTAGAATTCCTCGTCGCAATGTCTATATCGGTTTGCATAGATGCTGTGGGTACCCCATCG